CATTCTTCTACTTTATTTACCACAATACTACGTTTTCTACTATATCTACCACAATAGTACGTTCTTCTACTCTATCTACAACAATAGTACATTCTTCTACTCTATTTACCACAATACTACGTTCTTCTACTATATCTACCACAATACTACGTTCTTCTACTCTATCTACAACAATAGTACATTCTTCTACTCTATTTACCACAATACTACGTTTTCTACTATATCTACCACAATAGTACGTTCTTCTACTCTATCTACGACAATAATACGTTCTTCTACTCTATCTACGACAATAGTACGTTCTTCTACTCTATCTACCGCAATAGTACATTCTTCTACTCTATTTACCACAATACTACGTTCTTCTACTATATCTACCACAATACTACGTTCTTCTACTAAATTTACCACAATACTACGTTTTATACTCTATCTACAACAATAGTACGTTCTTCTACTCTATCTATCACAATAGTACGTTCTTCTACTCTATCTACCACAATACTACGTTCTTCTGCTCTATCTACACCAATAGTACGTTCTTCTACACTCTTTACTACAATAATACGTTCTTCTACTCTATCTACCACAATAGTACGTTCTTCTACTCTATTTACACCAATAGTACGTTCTTCTACTCTATTTACACCAATAGTACGTTCTTCTATTCCATCTACCACAATAGTACGTTCTTCTACTCTATCTACAAGAATAGTACGTTCTTCTACTCTATCTACAACAATAGTATGTTCTTCTACTCTATCTACCACAATAGTACGTTCTTCTACTCTATCTACCAGAATACTACGTTCTTCTACTCTATCTACACCAATAGTACGTTCTTCTACACTCTTTACTACAATAAACGTTCTTCTACTCTATCTATCACAATAGTACGTTCTTCTACTCTATCTACCACAATACTACGTTCTTCTGCTCTATCTACACCAATAGTACGTTCTTCTACACTCTTTACTACAATAATACGTTTTTCTACTCTATCTATCACAATAGTACGTTCTTCTACTCTATCTACCAGAATAGTACGTTCTTCTACTCTATCTACCACAATAGTACGTTCTTCTACTCTATCTACCACAATAGTACGTTCTTCTACTCTATGTACAACAATACTACGTTCTTCTACTCTATCTACCACAATAGTGCGTTCTTCTACTCTATCTACCACAATATAACGTTCTTCTACTCTATCTACCACCATAGTACGTTATTCTACTCTATCTACCACAATAGTACGTTCTTCTACTCTATCTATCACAATATCACGTTCTTCTACTCTACCTACTACAATAATACGTTCTTCTACTATATTTACTGTATTATTGTGGTAAATAGAATGGAAGAACGTATTATTGTAAGAACGTATTATTGTAGTAAATAGAATGGAAGAACCCCATTCTATTTACCACAATAATACGTTCTTCCATTTTATTTACCACAATAATAAGTTCTTCCATTCTATTTTCCACAATAACACGTTCTTCCATTCTATTTACCACAATAACACGTTCTTCCATTCTATTTACCACAATAATACGTTCTTCCATTCTATTTACTACAATAATATGTTCTTCCATTCTATTTACCACAATAATACGTTATTCCATTCTATTTACTACAATTGTACGTTCTTCCATTCTATTTACCACAATAATATGTTCTTCCATTCTATTTACCACAATAATATGTTCTTCCATTCTTTTTTCCACAATAATACGTTCTTCCATTCTATTTACCATAATAACACGTTCTTCCATTCTATTTACCACAATAATACGTTATTCCATTCTATTTACCACAATAATAAGTTCTTCCATTCTATTTACCACAATAATACGTTCTTCCATACTATTTACCACAATAATACGTTCTTCCATTCTATTTACCATAATAATATGTTCTTCCATTCTATTTACCACAATAATACGTTCTTCCATACTATTTACCATAATAATATGTTCTTCCATTCTATTTACCACAATAATACGTT